ACACACACACACACACACACACACACACAACCTGAAAACTAAAAACACAAAACTGCATAAATCCCGTCCATCACAATTGGCACTGTTGTCACAAAGGTGGTGGGGGGGGGTGGGGGGTCATTCAAATAAGGCATCGCAGGATGAATTGTTGTGTCACGTTTACAGTCTGATGTGACTATTTAAAATGCAGTAACAATAAAAGTGAAATCCTGCCACAATGGTCATATTGTAAACGCTGTTATTAACATTCTTCATTTTTTCTGTAGTCATTGTACAGGTTACGTATAAGCCCACACCCCACATTCTTGCTGCAGACCTGAGGTGTTGTGTCTGAAGCCTCTTTGTTGAGCTGCTGCCGTCATGCGTCACTGTGGCTGGCACAGCTGTGTCAGAGCGATTATACCAGTGGTGTGACTGGTTGTAGGTGTCGACGCACCAAAATCTGCTTCACATTCATGTCTCATGAACCCACACGACACACATTCAGGCCAAGCTGAACTCTGACCTGCAGAATGTTTTCCAGTGTCCAGCCAGGCTGACAGAGGGCATGACACTGACCTCTGTTTGTTTACAGTATATTCTTGTTTTATAACTGTGACCCACTAATACAAGCAGCAAAGAAGGGGAGATGCTGCCTGGCTGCAGCGAGTGGGAGGACAGCGACAGAGTGTGTGTGCCAGCTGCTGCAGGTTTACAACCTGACTCACAGCACGTCTAGACCCCTCATGCTTTTTGATACATCATGCAAGTAAATGATTGAATGGATTTGAGTCTGCTGCACCTTATAATATATTCGCCACCACAGCCTCTGATTTATAATAAGCCTCAGCCAGCACGTGTACGGCTCACACTGCTGCACAGACATAAACCACAGCAGCAGGTGTGTTAAGAGACCCCACGCTGTCTGTGTCACTAAGACCTACCACTCTGCACTTAATGTTGCACTTGCACAGTTAAAGGGGGCCTATGTGACACAGTAAATGTTAGATCCCAAGACCCCCAAGAGTAAGTGGGGTAACTAGTAAAGCTTAGAATAAGGCTGGGGTCAGGTTAAGCTACACTACACAGGACACAACTAGTTAAGGATGGAGGTTAGCTTCAGATTAACATTAGAGACCCTGAGTCTTGGGATCTAAATCAACAAAACTAGCCAGCCAATGACAGTGCAATAACTAAAAGGTAAACCAGTTAACATCATGCCAAGTTAACGATGTTCATTCACATATTTGCTTTATTTAAGGCTTTTACTTTCTTAAATTAAAAGCTAATGGATAATTTTATACCCACTCTACACTTGCAAGGCTGAATTACAGTTGAGAGTAAAACACATAAGTGAATCAATGCAGTTACCATTGGAAGTATGGACATCACACTGGCTGTTGACAGATTTTTGCATGAATGGAGACGACAAAATGTCATTTTCATTGCATTTTTGTTCAGTTTTAAAACATTTCTTCATGTTTGTCTAATAACCGTGAGCTAGCTGCTGATAAGGCCACACATCTCATGTGGAGTCTTTGTCTCTTGTTGAAATGTGCGATGGTCTGTGTGAGTGTTGGTGATGGTGGTGTGTACCTGGAGTCTGCCAGGCAGTCATGCAGAGCTGCTGAGCCCAGACTGGGAGAGAAACCAGACTGTTAGCGTGCACATGACATGACAAACACAATGCAGACAGAAAGGACAATCCTGCTGTGTCATGAGAGCCTTTTCCAGTACACAGTAAGATGACCTGAGAACACACGAATAACATGGGGAAGCTTATGAACTGTTGGAGGCAGTTTGGTGCCTCGACAACAGGAAAGGGATGGACAGATAGACAAATAACCACCTGTCAGCCATCTTACTCGTACCAGTCTCATGATCACTGTGTAGGACCGTCTGAACATTCATCAGAAAACCAGCTACAAGTAAAGGCAGTGGGGGGGGGGGGGTTGGAGTGGGGTCAGGTGTACGGGGAGTGAGGGCTTTGTGTTGAATTGCTGTAAAACAACAGGAAATATGTTGTCTTCTCCCTAAAACAAAGCTGTTGTGTCCAAACGGTTTCACCTGACAGAGCTTCCTGATCAGGCTCCTTCATGTTCATGCTTACATAATAGACAGAACAGAACAGCAGGTGTCCCTGGTAGATGTTTGGTCTGCAGACTAGCAGGCTGAGATCAACTCAAATTATAATCATTAACAGATCACAGAGTAAAGCCCTACCTCCTAAAAGCAGCGCTGGCTCTGGGCGACATCACCACTTAATTAGATTAAAGCGTGTTGTGTCTCCATCTTCAATAAGCATTAACACGAGTCCCCAAATCCTCCATCAGAGAACCAGTGCAGGTAGAAAACTGGGAGTTTACTGCACGGCCACGTGGTGTTGGATGAATTAAACTCCACCAAGTCAGAGATTAGCACTGGATTAGTCTGTGAGTGTGTCTGCAGGCCAAACGAAGTGCGCCAGCAGAGCAGAACACAGGGAAGCAGCCTGGCACGCATGCACACATGCACCACAGGTAGCTGGAGTAATCCTAGTCTCCTCCACCTGCTGTATACAGATTACTGAAATGGATCAACATACAGTCCCTCTTTATGAGGAGGGCTATTCCAACAGAGGTGATGTGATCTCTGAACTGATCTGGGCTTTGACACTTTCCCCCGAGCTTAAATTTATTGTTTAACACTGGTCTACAACTTATAGAAGTTTGTGCTGCTGATGTGCAAAAAAACTGACTGAGAAGTAAAGAGATACTGTATATGGACTAATGCGTAAAACAAACAGGCTGATGTACTGAGCTGCTGAGACACAACACCAGCCTAGTGTTTCACCTCAGAAGCTCGCTGCAGCAAAAGCAAATAGTTTTGTCGTTAGATCCACCAAGAGCTTTGGTTAAAGTTTCATTCATTCATTTCATTTCTTTTATTCATTCACTTTCAAACAAAGTTCATACACTGCCAGTGCCATATTTTATGAACCAGGACCAGCCAACTGTTTTAGATATCGCTGTTTTCAGTGGCCCAGAATTAGCAAAGATATTTTTGGTTGTACACCAGACTGTTAATAGTCACATTAAGGACAGAAACCAGATGGATTATCGTGAACATCTCACCATGCGGATGATTTCTGTGCGCTCTGGTGGCTGGGTTTATTCAGACAAGACAAAAATGATCACAAATGTTTTCTAACACAATGAGTGTAATCTCATCAATAGTTAGA